CAGTCGTGGGGCCTGAACTCTGGGCCTGGGCACTGTCCCTCAGCTCTTCAGCTCAAGGCTAGTGCTCTACCACTTGAGCCACAGCGCCATTTCTGGCTTTTTTCTTTTTGCTTATGTGGTGCTGAAGAATTGAACCCAGGGCCTCAGGCATGCAAGGCAAGTGCTCTACCATTGAGCCACCTTCCCAGCCCCTGAATTCTGTTTCTTTATTGTGGTACATAACATAAATATATATATAAAACATAACTTTTTCATTTTAGCTATTTTAAAGTGTATCATTGGAAAGATGGCTCAGTGTTAGAGTGCTTGCTTTGCATGCATGAGGCCCTGGGTTCCATTCCTCAGCACCACATAAGCAGAAAAAGCTGGAAGTGGCACTGTGGCTCAAGTGGTAGAGCGCTAGCCTTGAGCAAAAAAAAGCTCAGGGATGGCGCCCAGCCTAGAGTTCAGGTCCCATGACCGACGCGCCCCCTCCCCCCAAAAAAAAGTGTATAATTCTTTTTTTTTTTGCCAGTCCTGGGTCTTGAACTCAGGGCTTGGGCACTGTCCCTGAGCTTCTTTTGCTCAAGGCTAGCACTCTACCACTTGAGACAAAGCACCACTTCCAGATTTTCCTGTTTATGTGGTACTGAGGAATCAAACCCAGGGCTTCATGCATGCTAGGCAAGCACTCTACCTCTAAGCCACATTCCCAGCCTAAGTGTATAATTCAGTGTTATCAATTAACTCAATGGCACATTCAGAGAAACCATACCATTATTTCCAGCACTTTTTCTTGATCTCAAACACAAACACTGAACTCATGAAATAATAACTCTAATTCTCCCCATCTCCAGCCAGGGCTGATTGATTTCTGTTTTACCTTCAGGTTCTTTGAATTTACCTATTAAAATTACCTCATGTAACTCAAATCATGGAGTTCTTTTTCTTTGGTGTCTGGTTTGTTTCACTTAGCACAATGTTTTTGAAGCTCATCTGTGTGACAGCTTCTGTATTTATGACTGAATAATATTTTCATTTTATGTACATATGTTTTATGTTTTGTTCATCTGTTATACTTAGATTATCTGTTTTTACTATTGACTCTTAAAAATAATGCTGCTATGAATATGGTATTCAATATCTGTTCAAGTCCCTGCTGTCACTTCTTTTGTCATTTCTTTCTGTAGAAGTGTAATTGGTGGATCAAATGGTAATTTATGCTTCACTTTTGTGTGTGTGTACTGGCATTGAGGTTTGAACTCTGGGTCTGGGTGCTGTCTGTTCAATTTTTCCACTCAAGGCTGGCACTCTCCCACTTGAGCCACACCTCCACTTCCAGCTTTTTGGTGGTTAATTGGACATAAGAGTCTTACAGACTTTCCTTCCCAGACTGACTTTGAACTGTGATCCTCAGATCTCAGCCTCTTGAGTATCTAGGATTATAGGTGTGAGTTACTAGCACCCAGCTTAGTTTTACTTTTTGAGAAACTACCATACTGTTACCATGGTAGCTGGCAGTGCATGTAGGTTCCAGTTTCTCCATAGCCTACTAGTTTGTTTTTTGTCGTTTGCCAGCTGCGGTCCTCATGGATATTATGTGGCATCTGTGGTTTTGGCTTACATTTTCCTAATAATTAGTAATGTTGAACATGTTGTCATTCACTCATTAGCCTTTCTTTGGAGAAATGTCTGTTCGTCTTCTGCCCAAGAGATAGAAGTTTTAAAATGTTGTGGATGTCCGCTCTATGCCTGTGCTCGGAACCTTCACTAATAGCTTCTTGTAACCTCTCTCTTTTAAGGTATTTAATGTGAATGCCCCTTTGCCCCCTCGGAAAGAAGAACTAAAAGAACCTCCTTACTCACCTAGCTACAATCAAAGTTTTACTTCAGCCAGCACACAGACACCGCCCCAGTGCCAACTGCCAGCTATTCATGTAGAACAAACCGTCCTATCTCAGGAGCCTGGTAAGATCTTTGCATATATTTTCAATATTTAGACAAACAGTTCATGAACTGAAAAGCAAATCGATGGTAACACTTTCAAAGTCCTTTCCTACCTACTAAGAATCATTTCTTCACATATTCCTGAAGGGTTGAGAAGCACCGTTTCTGCCCTGTAATGCTTTTTGTTATGTTCTCTAAGTAAAACGTGGATGATTTAACCTGTAGGCTTTTGTTTTTGAACCTACTTGTTTGCTTATCCTAGTTAGTGATTGTGAAACCAGTCTGTTACCTGCTTTTTTTTCTTTAAAAAAAATTATTGCTGGATGTTGGTGGCTCATGTCTATAATCCTAGCTACTCAGGAGGCTGAAATCTGGGGATTGATATTCGAAGCCAGCTTAGAGAGGAAAGTCTGTGAGAACACTCTTATCTTCAATTAACTACCAGAAAACTGGAAGTGGCTCTGTGACTCAAAGTGATAGAGTGCTAGCCTTGAGTAAAACAGCTCGAAACAGCACCCAGGCCCTGAGTTCAAGTCCCAGGACTGACAAAAAAAATACATACGTGTGTGTGTGTGTGTGTGTGTGTGTCTGTGTGTATACACACATGTGTTAACACTAAGGAGCTTAACAAATGAGTTGCAATTTTAAATCGGAAAATAAGTACAATACTTGCACACTGTTACCCTCTGTTAACCTTTTTATCACAGATGTAATTATCTGGCTTTTCCCTCTTTTAATATATTAAATGTTGAATTAATTTGAAGATAAAACTTAGTATATTGTTTTGTTTTGCTCAGGTGTGTGTGTGTGCGTGTGTGTGTGTGTGTGTGTGTGTGTGTGTGCGCGCGCGCTTGCCTGTGCGTCGGTCTGGGTGCTGTCCCTGAGCTAGTTTTTCAAGGCTAGTGCTCTACCACTTGAGCCACAGCTCCACTTCTTGCTTTTTAGTGATTAATTGAAAATGAATCTTACAGACTTTTCTGCCCAGGCTGGTTTCAAACCTCAATCCTTAGATCTCAGCCTCCTGAGTAGTTAGGATTGCAGGCATGAACCACCAGTGCCAAGCTTAGGGACTATTTTTAATGTATCCATTGCAAACTAATTATGCAGTAAGAAGCTTTACTTAAAAAACCAACAGCAAGGGGGCTGGGAAGGTGGCTCAGTGGTAGAGTGCTTGCCTTGCATGCATGAGGCCTTGGGTTCAATTCCTTAGCACCACATAAGCAAAAAGAAAAAAG